CTTTAAATAATATTTTGTGACAAAATGTTACGTTAAAGAATGAAACATTGATTGTATCTAGCAGAATCCCTTAGATGAAATTATTTTGTGGAGAATTTTGAATGACCTGGTTGTAGGTACAAGAAAAAAGATGCTGTGGTTCATTTTTTCTTTCTCATGATGATTCAGTATATTTTTGGATATTTCAGTTTACACTATAGTGCATGAAAGTATTAAGATACCAATAACCATATTAGTTTTGATGGGTGCAAGTATATTGGCATTTTAAAAGAACAGATTTTGGGCTAGGAGCAGTTCATTCAAATACAGATTAAAAATATAAACCCTAGATTGTTTTATTTTTCCTTATAAATAAAGAAATTCCTTAAAACTCTCTAAATTCCAGAAAACTGAATTATCTCTGTTCCAAAATTTTCTAATGGAAGATCCCTTTTCACCTTTTCCCCCAAACTCAGCTTTCCTTTTCTGGCTCTACCCCTTCCCTCCACCCCACTGCCCCCCACCAATTCCTGCTATCTTCCCCACTTCAGTAGGTTTTGTAAAGTGGGGGGTTGTTTGAGAGGAGGGGTTTGCCCCTGAATTTCCAATTGGTGCTGGCAGTAGTGGAAGCACTAGGATAGAAAGCATGACTGACATGCTAATATTTTAAGAACTGTATTTTATTCTCTAACCCTGCTTGGTTCAATGTTTACCCTAGCTCTTTCCACCACTGGTGAAACTGAACTGGTGGTAAAATGTTGAGAAATTTGGAGTAAGAGACGGACTACTTTAGACAAAGTCTAAATTTTGCTCTTTCTTTTAGCAGGACAGTGCCTAATGATATTCTTTATACATCAGTTTTAGATATAGTCTAATTTAATATCTTCCTTAGTGGAGGAAGGAGTAAGCCATATGTTAATTAACTTTGCTGAGCATAATTAATTGGAAGGTGTATTTAACACCAGCAGAGACATACCTTCTAAGATAGTATAGATAAGAAGAAGCAGGAAATAACAATACCAGACCCTTCTACACAAATGCAAGCTAATATATTTTGGAAAAATCATGATAAAACAAATATTTATAGGAAGGAAGCTATTTGAAAATCAGTAGTACTGAAAGAGTTAGGAAGGTCATGGTAGACAACACATTTAATATGATCTTACAATGCAATGCGCCACCCTGGTTTTGGGCTTCATTCAAAGAGAATTTGTTCAGTCTGATAACACCGTATCTATGCCATAGAATTAAATTCTGAACACATTTTTAAAAAATCATATATCTGACAGGATTCAGAAAGCAGTAAGAGGGTATTGAACACTTCATAGAATCAGGTCCCAACTTCCACTGAATTTAAAAACAGCACTTCTGGTTTGGGTCCAAAATGAGCAAACACCTACATCGTAAGCAAATCTCAGTTTCTGAGAGTCTTCAAGATACAACCTCAATAAAAACATTACAGTAGGGACTCACGTCTTTCTCTGTATATTTATAAAATGACACAGGGGTTTTCATACCTGCACTGTATGCTTGCTTTTAGTACTCAAAGGCGAGTGCAAACATCCGTTTTTCATTTCAGTAGCCCAGGATGTAGCAACTATGTGGCTTATTATAAAAATAAATATAGTACAAAATATACAAGACCTGCATTCATACCTTGTGCACGGTATCTGGTAAACAATGTATTTGGCGCTCCCTTCATATCTGAGGGCATAACTCCTTTGAACTGCTTTGAAAACATCTCTGGTTTGATTGTAACATCAGTAGTTACCCTTCCTTGAGTAAATAAAACTAGTACATAGATGATCTATGAGTCACATCCCACATCAGAATGAAAAAAAAAGGAAAAAACCAGCCATAAAGGGGCTAGTTCTGATATTAAATACATAGTTGGCTGGATATGCTCAGAGCTTATTTCCAGTAAAAGGGACTTGATGCCTAATACTAAAGAAAAATGGGATTTGTAAGAATAAGGGAATTGAAAGATTGTGAGTATGGAAGGCCTAGTTGATAAATCAAAGAACATTTTTGGAAAAGACTTCATATTGAATCCTATCTCTACCAAAGCACAGCAGCAGTTTGGTATTATGAAGTCTCGTCTCATCAATCCACAAAGATGATTCCAGCAGATGTTGATGGATGGACATACTGAGTCATAGGTGCCACTTGACTAATGCTTGAAAATCTGCTAGGCTGGCTACACTTTTATATATAACAATAATCAAAACCACCCCTTCTTTATACGCAGGCAGCCCTCATTCAACTTTTCTATCACTCCAGTCTTTCCCAATCTCTTTCTTTCCCTTGCTCCCATCAGTTGCGTCTTCCCTGATTCATTTTGACCAGTAGTGATGACCACATCTAAGAGCCTGGAAATATTGGAAGAGAATCCTGGTACAAATTGGCTGGAGTAAGCTTCCAAAAGCCCAAGAAAATAAAGAAAACAGGAGATAGCAAGCTTTCTGTGGAAGTGCTAGGAAGACAAATTGGGCAGACTACACCAAGTCAGTTACTGTGAAGGCATGAACAATTACTCTGAAGTCTGTAGAGGCAAGATACTATCCAAAACAAATAACATGATGTGAATAACCATCACTATGCTTCTTTCTTCATCTCCTTATAACAAGGTATTTAATACAATTCACAGATTCCTTGTAAGCAGACAGGGATGTGCCATGATCACCTCTGCTATGGCCTCAAACTTGCAACTTCTGAGCTGTCAACCATACACCCTAGCACCCACACCATCTCAGCCCTGATGACTAGCCTTATTTACACCCACTGTATCTGACCAACCTCATGCTGCAATATGAGTGAATGTGAGAGCAGAGTTTATCATCCTCTGGTCATGTCTACACGTGTGCTTTAGTGCACATTAGCCTATCTAAATGCACATTAAAGCATCACTGAATAAATGTTCTATTTAGTAATGCACATTAAAATAAGCTAATGTTCATTAAGCATCATTTAAAAACCATGGGCTCCTATAGACTTGCAAGGAGCTGGCTCCATACACTGGAAATCCAGCACGTCAGAGCAGACCCAATTAATTGAGTCTGCTGGAGCAGGGAAATAGATGCACTCCAGCAGCTTCCTTCATCATGTGTTGTAGGGCCCTAAAGTGCCTGCTCCTTTAAGGGCAGAAACTGTCTAGGGAGAGGGCCCTAGGAGCCAGGCAGAAACCCCACAGGTGTAGGTTACTATGGCAGCAGGCTAACGAGGGAATTAGCCTGCACCTGCACCTGGTTAGCTGACCAGAAGATGGCAGGGCCCTGGGCCTATCTGTGGGCACAGAGACAGGGCTGCGGAGAGCCCAGTGATGAAGGAGAGGCTGAGCTATAGCAAGGCCTCAAAGGGACAATGTTTGAATACAATCTGCAAGGCATGGGGTGTGGTAACAGGATGGTTTTGGAGCCACACTTCTAGCCCATAAGGCTGAGGTTGTCCCGTGAGGCATCCATTCTCAGCGGGACCCAAAAATTCGTGCAAGAACCCACTGGTTTCAGTGGAGTCCATCAGGACCATGTCCAAACATAAACTCGAGGGCAGCCCCCCTATTTATTATAATTACCAGCAAGATGTGGCAGGAAAGAAAAAGGGTGCCTGTTGGGTAAGACTGGCAGAGTCACAGTGCCCTAGGGGCATCATGGCCATTCCTGGGGACCCCACACTGTGACAATGTGTATCAGCATCATTGCGCTGAAAAATGGTGGCGGGGCACTTAGAGCTAAAGCTCATTCAATGGACTTTAGTTCAAAGTGCCCTGCTGCCATTTTTCAGTATGGGGGATGCTGATACACATGACGTTCGTGCACTTTTAATTAGTGCGTCTCCCTAATTTAAGTGTCCCCCTACGCCTTCCAGAGCACGTGTAAAAATGCACATTAAAACAAGCTACTGTGCATTTTCCTAGTACCTCACAATGGAGGTACTATATTCCACATTAACTAAAGCACATTAATGCACATGTAGACACACCCATTATATTTTTATTATCTATTAATTTTACTGTGGTAATGCCAAAGGCCCCTAATAATGATCACTACCCCATCATACCTGGCTGCTTGACACACATACAGGAAGCCAGGTGTAGCCCTGGATATCAAAAGGGGTATTAAGGACTTTGTGCTTCCAGTGTTTGGGTGGAAAATTAAACCATTTCACTCTCTGTATTATACTGCATTAAACTAGCATGCACTTACTACTTCCATTTGTTTTTGTTATGATGTTATTGTCTGATACCTCATATTAAAACTTGTTTGTTCATGGGCCACATAGGCTAATAGCACAGATGCCAGTTTTTGAAAACTCTTTCCAAGGGGCAGCTAACAGAGAGATAAGTTGGAGGTCCTGAGGTAACAAGGAGGGCATAGCTGCTACTGGAGGCATTCATGTTCATCCTGTTGAAAGAGTTTTCTTCTCAGTAGCGTATTCCTTTAATAGGACGAAAAGAGCTCGAGAAAATAATTAAAACATGACCAGAATGCTCAAGTAGTCCAGGAAAAGGAGACTTCCAGGTCACCAAGTAATTTGCTAAACTGTCCATAGATTTCAGGTACTCCCCATTCCCATCTCATCTCCCTCACTTCACCTTCTCCTAACTCCTATGTTATATTTCCTTTCTGCTCCCTGCTCCCTTATTTGCCTTCCTAGAAGGAGTATCTCTGACTGCTACTTAAAGTACAATCCCCCTTGCCTACCTTTTCTAGTACCATTTTAGAGCATGGATTCCTTAGTCTAATCTAGGTACCTACCTGAACACTCATAGCTTTTGGAGATACTGTTGTCCTGAGCTCACCATGAGAATATCCAAGAAGTAACTGGCTTGGTACTTAGTAAAGGTGCTGAATGCCACCACAAGAGCAATTGCAATTTGCATGAGCAGCTGGAGAGAGGCTGCTATGCCGAAGTCCTGCAGAGACCTCCAACAGTCCAGTCCCCAGCAATTCCCCAAAACCAGGACAGTCTTAGCTGATGTATTAGCAGCTATAGTTGTTTAGGACCTCAGTGTGCATGCTTACCTTTGACGCAGGCCTGAACTTGTCCATACCATTCTCCACAGCTGTCACAGAGTAATGTAAAAGCAGTCTCTTTGTTGCCCATGATGTAGCCCTGGGCACAAACATAGAGCAGCTCATCTCCCATTTCAAAACCAGTGTGACCATGCAGGATTGTGTGAGGGAAAGATGGTGGATCCCCGCACGGCTTGTCTAAGAAGAAAAAACAAGAGTGATATGAGAAACTTTAACATGTTTTTTAGTTGTACTGCTAGGGATGGGGCTTGACTAAAAACTGTGAAAATAGACCTAGATATACCAACTGAACCCCCCCACACACATTTCTATGTAAGGCTACCAGGTTAATTCTATGTTGTCTGTCAAATAGTTGTCAGGTGGCAAGAACTAACCATACACCAATCAAACAGGAATGAAAAGCACAGTTAGCAACTTTCAGTTCCCTGAGCCATCTAGTACTCTACCCAACTGTATTTCTAATCTACCCTGTGTTTCTCATAATAGGAGTTAATTCAGAATCTCATAGTGCCTTCATAAAACGAACCTAACCTGTGATGTAGAACCCTGTGCTCTTACCGTCACAAAGTGGTGAGCTTTGCACAGCTGTAAATTATGAGAAACTGAGGTACTAAACCTGCACAGATGTCAGGAAATAAAATCTAAGATGCATGTAAGAGCAGAATGTATTTTGAGAACATTTACAAAGGCAGCACAGAGAACCTGAAAGTGAGAAAGACTATACATAAAATGAAATGTACTTAATTGAATGCCTTTAGTTTACCTGAAAGAAATTCAGGTATAAAAAATCAGCAGCAGCCATGGTGAAAAATGAGCTAAATTGGAAACTTTATTACAGTTATAATGATCGAAGGTGTCATTAACAACAGCCAGATCATCTAGCTGGTAACAATGATATGGGAATGCTCTTCCTGCAGATTTCTCCTTCCCTCTAAGGGAGTTGGTAAAGAAGGATCAATCTCATCTATGACCTTGCCCCTTCCTGTCCCAAACTCCACAGGGTTCCCTTTGGAAAGAGGGCCCAGGATGCTAAGACCCAAATCTCACCAAAACCCCAATGGACAGTGTTTAGCCTTAGAATATATTAACTCTTCCATAGCCCATTACAAACTTGGGAACCTCTTCACTAATCTCAGAGCCACCAATCACTGTGGAAAAGCATTGTCAATTAGGCTTGGATCCCATTGGATATTTTCACAGGTATCCAGTGATGACTGAGTTCCCAGTAAAGATATGTTTGTTTATTAAAAGATTTTTTGTTGTTAATAACTTTGTGAAGATAATGCCATACAGAAAATACTAATCCTGTAAGTAGATTTATTAGATGTTGGCATGTCTATTTGTCTGTACTTTCTCTCTAATTTGGGGTTTAGCCTTATGGCCTGAACTTAATCTTTATGAATTGAGTGTATCTGCCACTAGAGGAGACCCTAATGGGGCTAAAGCATTGAAGTCTATGCTCCACTCCTTACACGCTACCACATAACACCTTCAGGTGTTAGTGGAAGTTACACACTTACACATTGACAACAGAACAGACCTCTTTGTAGTTACACAAGGCTCAGTTCATGCTCAGTCTCATTTAGACTTGGCATCTGAAGAAGTAATCACAGCAGTTAGCAGCTAATGTATTTCCTGTGAACTGGTAAGAGTGAATGGAGATTGACAAGGGTGAGAGGAATAAAAAATATTTTATTGCCATAATGAAAAATTAGAGCCCATTAGGTGTACTTTCATTAGCACAAACAACAGTTATGTGTCTGCACTGAGGAAAGAATTGATTCTAAAGCATTATAGTAATAGAACTACTAACCTGAAAGTATCATCTATAGAGTCCAAATGCTTGGTTATATCATGTGGAAAGGGTAAGATTTAGCACTTCCATTTTCAAATTTGCAACAGAATTGATATGACTTCTATAAAGTTCCAGGATGTAAAGTTGAAGGGTGCCTTCTACAGGAACAAGCTAACAGGAGATAAATGGAGCATGTTCTCTTTCAGAGCTTGTCACAAAGTTTAGCTGTTTTCTATAGCCTCCCAACCATAAATAAAAATAAGAGAACTGACAATTTAAATGGAAAAAGAAAAGGTGAAGTATTCAAGAACCTAGGAGAGGTGAAGAGCTCAATCAACTCTGATGGCCTCTGACTACAGCACTGCGCAAACAAAAATCACATCATGGATGACTGCCCTAAAAATACCCGGCACAGATGCCTATACATGCCCATCTATACCTAACCCAGCAGCTAAGCAGTTTTCAGAGAGATGGGAAGCAACTGATTGTATCAAAAATAGTTCAAAACTTTCAAAGATTTGCATAATACAGGTCAGTAACTACTCTGGATAAATTTTCTGTTCCTAAATAATAAAGTTTGACAGAACTCTATCAGTGTCCAAGTACATTGCTACTTCATTGACACCAATAAAACAATTTATTCTGTTTAAAAATGATTGGATGGAGAGTCATAAATTAAATGCTTTTCAGGACAGAAAGGACCATTTTTACTAATTAGACTGACTCCTAGCATAAACAAACCATATATTTCACCAAGTGGTTTCTGTAAGCCTCAGGCATAACCTGAGGTAAAGTATATCTTTTGGACAGGGATCTGGCTTAATTTGAAGATGATGAAGGTGATGGACCATCCTTTCATGTAGAAATCAATTGTTCATTAACTTCACTGTAAAACTCTGCACTTTATTTTTAGTCTGAACGTACGAAGTTTCAGTTTCTGACCATTGGAACTTGTTATGCCTTTGCTAGAGCCCTCAGCTATTAGAAATTTTCTTTGTGGGTTCTTCTAGACTGTGATTAAATCTACTCCTAACCTTCTTTTTTATGCTAAATAGATTTTCTTGGTTTTTTCAGTGTAGAACAGGTTTATTGTGGGAATGGAAAAAGAAGAATCCTTCTAATGCCAAGTGTCCACTGTGTATTTCACTTGAGTGTGCCATTCATGTTAGCCTAGCTCAAGTGAAAGAAACCACATTGTGAGAAGCACTGGGATTTTGGGCACATCACATGGGCCTTCATGTTGATATGAGCTGGTGTCTGAATGATTTCTCAGTGTATTATGGGAGAATCTATCTTTTCTAAGTACATGTGTGAAAGTGGTCTTAGCCTAGCAACTCATTTAAGTATCCCACCTCCAGGCTGGCATGTCTAATATTTCTGTTTATATTCACTGTATCAGCCAGTGGTAAGGCATGAATCTAACTCAGAGCCACAATATGTGTTAACCACTGGTATTAATGCAACACTTATTCTGGGACAAAGGAACATGAAATGTAACAGAGAATGTTTTGGTAGCAACTTGTCATTGTGAGAAAGCATGGTAATGGGATTATGCAGGTGCATGTCCTGAGGAGAACTAAAGCAGGTTTTCAAAAATAAGGACTCCTCCTATGCTGTCTAGCAATTCAGGAGCAGCACTCTGCATAAGGAAAACTGCTGATCAGCATGGCCATCTTCTCAGAATATAGACACATTTTCAGGGACTTCCTGGCTGTTGGAGTCTTTGGTTTTTCAGTACACAAGCATGATGTAGTTGATGTAGCATAGTGGTCCAGGAGCCTATAGAAGCACTGTAGAAACACTACCACCTGTAGAAGCCCTGCAAGAGCTATGTTGTAGACACAACAAGGCACATGCAAATATGGGGCCCAATGCCAGCCTGGACAATACTGATATATGACTCCTAGTGAAAAAGTGTGGAGCAGGTGCATAGCAAGAAAATATGGCCCAAAGTAATTGAGAAAAGGGACTGGAGGACTAGCACACTTTTGTGGGTTAGGCCTCCACCCACATTACAGTGATGCCATTTATCCACACTACAGGCACCTATACATGTGACAGACCTCTGCTCCAACATGTGCAAAATAGCAAGCATAGGAGCAGACTCACTTAATCAAGTCTGCTGGAATATCGGATGGCATAGTGAGTTCTAATTTGGACTTCAGGAGTAATAACCATCTGAAAAATAATGTTAATCTCATACAATACTTGGAAAAGAGTTAGTGGCAGACATCTCCCTGATAGAGAGTGAATATAAGTCATTTTAGGATAATAAAATTTAGGGGTTCACTGACAGATTTTTGGGGCCGATACCAATCGCCAATTTTTAAGGAGGCATATCAGTTGATACCAATCCCATTTCCGATATACAGCCTGTTAGCTTGATGAGCAGTGTCCGGCTGGTAAGTCTGTTGTGGTGGAAGCAGGTGGGGGCAAGGAAGGAGGCATGGGAGGGGCAGATCGAGGCCCCTGTGGTGAGGGAGGGAGTGGGGTTGGAGTTGAGGTTGGGGCTGGAGCAGGGGCTGGGGGAACCACAGCCCGGCTGCGGCGGGGCGCAGGATGGAACCATGGCTTGTCCAGGGAATGTGACAGCAGGAGTGGCTCCCGCTGCTGCACGCACCCGGGGGGGGGGTGTCCTCCAGATCTGCATGGGGTAGGGCAGGCTGCAGCTGCAAGCTGGGGCCAAGGTGGCCTGGGCTCTTCCCAGTGGGGGTAGGGCTGGACTGCGCTTGGGGCAGGCGGCGGTGGTGCTGAGAGAGGGGTCAAGGGGGAGGGCTGCAGCCACCCCAAAATTCCTGATAGCTCTCGCACATACACCCCAGTGCCACTTCCTGTCCCACCCTGTCCTCCCCAAGCACAGCCCTGCCCAGCCCGAAAAGGGAAGAGCCCGGTGCAGCCCCAGCCTGCAGTTGCAGCCCACCCCCCACCCTGCCCTGCACAGATCCAGGGGACACATGTCCCCCATGCCCTCCCAGGGTGCACTCAGCAGTGGCAGCACCACTCCCCCTGAGCCCCCTGGATGAGCAGCGTCTCCATCCCATGCCCTGCCCCACTCTGCTGGGCAGCCCCACTCCCTCCCTCACCTCAGAGGCCTTAATCTGCCCCTCCATGCCCCTTCCCTCTCCCACTCCCTCGCCACTACAACAGACTAATCAGCTGGATGCATCTCTCCAAGCTGCCGAGCTGTGCTCCCTGCCACCTACGTGGGGTGCTGCAGCTACACGCATGCACAGGGCATTTATCAGCCACATTATTGGTCATATCAAATGGAGTCCCATTTCTCTTTTTGGGGTTTTTTGTTGTTCTCCCGCCCTGGCGGGGGGTCGGGCTAGAAGATCTACTAGGTCCCTTCCGACCCTTAATCTATGAATCTATGAATCTA